AAATATTAAATGAATCATTTTTTATTATCAGCAAGCTGGAGAGGTTCCAACAAACTTAATGCACCATAGTACATGTCGGTCAGGAGCTCTACTGGGGCAGTCCTGTTAGTTCTCTTATATACTGCTTACACAGACAAGTTATATTTTTCATTATTCATCATTAATTCATCATTAACGTTTGGTTCATGCATGTGACTGACCAATACCTCACGAGGCATCTTCTCTCCAAGCTGAGACCTTGAAACTGAGATACCCCTTTCGGTCCTCAAAGCAATGTCCTAGGCGTACTGCCAAATTGCTTATATTGATAGTGAGGATTCCTCCCAGGCACGATGAATCAGTCACTTCAGTCGAATTGGTAATTAGAAAAGCACAAACATAAAATGTTCCTTCACATTGCCTAAATATCATACAGTTTCCTTCAACCATGTATTTTATTTGGAGGGGCCAGGAGGTACGGTAGGGCGGGCCAGGCCCCCTAAGGCCCGCCCATAATGCCGGTCCTGGATGCTGATTGCAAGTATGTAGCCTACACATAATTAAACAACTATATAAACATGGTGACACAAAACATCCGAACAGCAATAGCCTGTTATTTTCATCCATCACGTCACGTTTTGTATTACTTTAGGGTATCCTCCATATTTCCAACAATCACATAACGTGTCAGGCCAAGTAAACAGTCTTGGGTTCAATCCCAAATCACCCCCTTCCCCTCTGCCCTCCATTTGCACATTCATGTTCGCCTCTGCCATATGCACAAGTGTCCGGTAGCTGAGGGAGTGAAAACGATGGAGGGTGTAGGGGCTAATTTGAGCCTCCGATAGCCACTTCGACCGAGTCCGCAACGCTGCCGGCTTCAGAGAAAATTGGTAGTTAGTTTTGAGTTTAAGAAATTTCACACAAAATAATGGAGAGGCATGCTAATTATGAGCCACCTGTATTTGTTTGTGTCTGATTTTGAGCCTTGACACATGTAACATTTTTAATACCTCCCAAATGAAATGTTTAACTGTTACTGAGGTTTATATCTTGTAGAATGACAGGGGCAATTTTCTCATTTGAATGTTATGCTCGTTTTATCATTTAAATGTGGAACTAGGACATGAACTGCATCATTCAAGTCACGAGTGTGTCCTGAAGTTGATGGGTTTATTTGATCCCCTCACCACTCTTGACATTACACTCGAGTTTCATCAGTAACACGTGACAAGAGGGCCCTCCGAGCAGGTTGGTAGGGGCGGGGGGCTGGTTTGGGATTCACAAATGGGATTCATCAATTGGGTGTGTTCAATTGGGTGTGTTCGAGCAGTAAAGGCATCAGCATGCTTCAGTTCGGCTGGCGCCTAGCTGAACTCGGTTGCGCCTATGCGAACCTCCCTTAAAAGACCTTCGCTTGAAAAACAAGAAAAAAACGTCAATAGTACGGCAATAGTACTGTTTGTCCATTTTGATACGCTGTAGCCACATTACACTTCCTCAATATAGTCAAAATTAATCTAAGATAATCTGTCATTAATTTTGATGTTTTTGCCAAGGAGATTTCAATTTTACATCTAACTAAGACGTTTGGTGCAGTATTTCTCATAGAAATGACAAATACTTTTCTGAAGAATCCCTACTGTTGACCAATCACCGAAGAAGGGGCGTAGACTTTGGCTATCGACTTCAGCTTGCCTCAAGAAAATATGTTGTGTTCCTTGAACAGCCGAAATTAACCTTACCAGTCCAAAACGAACAAAAACATCACAAAATGTAATCATAATATATGCACAAACTCTTCCGAACTGTTTAGTCTGGGAAGCATGTGGACGCCTTTAGTCTAACGAAGCTGACTGTAGACTAAAGTAGTAGTGCATCTGTGACAGACTAAAGTCGGACACAGTAGTGGTTTTCTAACAGCAAGGCTCAGATCAACATGGCAGTGTCAACATAGCAGCTATTGTTTATAAAATTTTGTCTTTTATAATGTATAAATAAACTTCTACACCCCCATATCACACATTGTCACGGATTCTGCCGAGGCTGCTCCTCCTCCTTGCTCGGGCAGGCTTCGGCGTTCGTCGTCCCCGGAGTACTAGCTGCTGCCGATCGATGTTTTCGGTGTCTGTCTAGTTTGGTCTGATTGTGTACACCTGTTTGTCATTATGTTTGATTGTTGTCATTATATTACCCCTGTCTCTCATTGGGTATTTTGTGTGTGATTGTTTCCCTTCACGAATGTCGCTAGTGAGTGGGTTAGTTCCTCCCTGTGTGGAGTTATTCTGTATTTATTTCAGTGTCGGATTAAAGTACGTTTTCCGAGAGTTCTGTGTCCTGCGCCTGACTCCTTCAACCGCATCTCACTGACAGCCGTGACACACACACACACAAACTGAAAACATAACGTGTGCACAATTAATTGGTTAGAGAGAGGTCTCATATCACTTTCATATCCCCTGTAGCTTTAGAATCGTGGTAAAGTTGGTTCCTGTTTCAGTCACATCTTTGGTTTGCGTTCGAGTGGGTCAAGCAAAATCACCCTAATGATTGGTTGACAACTAGTGCCTCCCACTAGCCAGGCGATGGCTGCATGGTGCAGAGAAGCAACTGTAGCAACTTGAAGGCGACTTCATCAAAAATTGCATGACCTTTGATCACATGGTTTTTGTAAAGTTCATGAAATCGATATGTAGGCGCAAGTCGGACAATTTTTATCCCCATAATGCAACATACTTTGAAAGACAAAATGTATCCGCTCGAACGAGCCCATTGCTAATAGTCTTGCAAATTAAATCACTTTATTGTCAATAGTTTCAAATACAGATAATATTTTGGAGAATGCACAAATGTATTAACATTTATTAAAACACCATCTTGGATTGAGTAAATATAAAATCATCCATAATCAAATAGTAAAGAAATCAAGAACATGATAAACACTGCCAATGAGACCATGATTTGATTGTGAAAGCACTGATGACAAGAATAAAAGGTTACCATGATCATTACACAAATTGAGAGTAGGTTATATAATTCAATACTAAGACAATAAAAACATGAAATATTATGACATCAGTAAATATTATGACATTGAGAAATGAAATTTGACACCCAGTATAGTATACAGTACTGAATGAAACAAAATGAAAAAGTCAATTTATCGCTTACTGTAAAGAACCTACAGTGGGGGGAAAAAAGTATTTAGTCAGCCACCAATTGTGCAAGTTCTCCCACTTAAAAAGATGAGAGGCCTGTAATTTTCATCATAGGTACACGTCAACTATGACAGACAAAATGAGGAAAAAAAATCCAGAAAATCACATTGTAGGATTTTTAATGAATTTATTTGCAAATTATGGTGGAAAATAAGTATTTGGTTAATAACAAAAGTTTCTCAATACTTTGTTATATACCCTTTGTTGGCAATGACACAGGTCAAACGTTTTCTGTAAGTCTTCACAAGGTTTTCACACACTGTTGCTGGTATTTTGGCCCATTCCTCCATGCAGATCTCCTCTAGAGCAGTGATGTTTTGGGGCTGTCGCTGGGCAACACGGACTTTCAACTCCCTCCAAAGATTTTCTATGGGGTTGAGATCTGGAGACTGGCTAGGCCACTCCAGGACCTTGAAATGCTTCTTACGAAGCCACTCCTTCGTTGCCCGGGCGGTGTGTTTGGGATCATTGTCATGCTGAAAGACCCAGCCACGTTTCATCTTCAATGCCCTTGCTGATGGAAGGAGGTTTTCACTCAAAATCTCACGATACATGGCCCCATTCATTCTTTCCTTTACACGGATCAGTCGTCCTGGACCCCCAAAGCATGATGTTTCCACCCCCATGCTTCACAGTAGGTATGGTGTTCTTTGGATGCAACTCAGCATTCTTTGTCCTCCAAACACGACGAGTTGAGTTTTTACCAAAAAGTTATATTTTGGTTTCATCTGACCATATGACATTCTCCCAATCCTCTTCTGGATCATCCAAATGCACTCTAGCAAACTTCAGATGGGCCTGGACATGTACTGGCTTAAGCAGGGGGACACGTCTGGCACTGCAGGATTTGAGTCCCTGGCGGCGTAGTGTGTTACTGATGGTAGGCTTTGTTACTTTGGTCCCAGCTCTCTGCAGCTCATTCACTAGGTCCCCCCGTGTGGTTCTGGGATTTTTGCTCACCGTTCTTGTGATCATTTTGACCCCACGGGGTGAGATCTTGCGTGGAGCCCCAGATTGAGGGAGATTATCAGTGGTCTTCCATTTCCTAATAATTGCTCCCACAGTTGATTTCTTCAAACCAAGCTGCTTACCTATTGCAGATTCAGTCTTCCCAGCCTGGTGCAGGTCTACAATTTTGTTTCTGGTGTCCTTTGACAGCTCTTTGGTCTTGGCCATAGTGGAGTTTGGAGTGTGACTGTTTGAGGTTGTGGACAGGTGTCTTTTATACTGATAACAAGTTCAAACAGGTGCCATTAATACAGGTAACGAGAGGAGGACAGATGAGTCTCTTAAATAAGAAGTTACAGGTCTGTGAGAGCCAGAAGTCTTGCTTGTTTGAAGGTGACCAAATACTTATTTTCCACCATAATTTGCAAATAAATTCATTAAAAATCCTACAATGTGATTTTCTGGAAAGAAATTTCTCAATTTGTCTGTCATAGTTGACGTGTACCTATGATGAAAATTACAGGCCTCTCTCATCTTTTTAAGTGGGAGAACTTGCACAATTGGTGGCTGACTAAATACTTTTTTTCCCCCACTGTACTGTTCTTTTAGCAAGCTTATATCTCATGCGACTTGCACATAAGTTACTGTATCTATTTTGAAAAGCCATAGGCTACCTTATGAATAATCAATTGTAAGCAAAAATAACAAAGTAAAATAATTTTGAAGCAGTAGAAATGTTGAATTGTCACTCACCTAAGGTTCAACAATAAATGATTAACAGAATGATTATACTGAATTCATGATATTCATATGCTGAATATAAAAGTATGATTTTAGCCCTTTACCAACATTTCCTCAGGGGAGGTTTTGTTCTTGGATGGCTGTACAGATGTCTTTATACTCTGGGGTGTTCTGGTCCAGGTACTTTTCGTCGGCCACCCAGGACTTCAGACTCTTCAGCTGATTCTGGTCGATGATCCCCTCTTTACAGTAGTGATTCAGCATCTGATTGAAGCCAGCTTTGTAGTATAACACTGTTCCTTCAGGAGAAATAACAGTGGGGCCCGGGGTAAGTCGATTGGGGTTTCCTAGAATAAAAACATAAACAAATTAAGGGGTTAATATTCAAACTGAAATGAGAAAAATCTAGTCAAGAATTTCCTATATAAGAAGGACAGACAGGACAATAATCACCTGCTTTGTCTCTGAGCTGGTCAGAAGCAATCGGATGAGCCATGATGAAAGAGAACTTCAGTGATTTCTCCACATCTCCGCTTGCAAGTGTATCTGCCAGCAGCTTCCTATGAGTTGGAAGGGCATGTACAGTGTTGTTAAGAGATTGAGAACATTCCGAATAGGGAAGCAGCATAGATAGTAAGTATTCAATTCCTAATACACCACAAGAATGGAACTTTTCACACTGTAGCAAAATTAAAGGTATCTAAGAAGAGGACCAGGCAGGAACCCTGCTTGAATTAAATCAAAGTAGGTTTGTTTCTGTGTTTTTATTTCAGCCTCGGTTGTGTATCACAGGCGGAAGGGTAGGGATGGATTACACCTACAGTGCATTCGGAAAGTATTCAGACACCTTGACTTTTTCCACATTTTGTTACGTTACATTCTAAAAATGGATTAAATCTTTTTTCCCCATCAATCTACACACAATACCCCATGATGACAAAGCAAAAACAGGTTTTTAGAAATTGTAGCAAATTTATTATAAATAAAAAACGGAAATATCACATTTACATAAGTATTCAGACACTTTACTCAGTACTTTGTTGAAGCACCTTTGGCAATGATTACAGCCTCAAGTCTTCTTGGGTATGACACTATAAGCTTGGCACACCTGTATTTGGTGAGTTTCTCCCATTCTTCTCTGCAGATCCTCTCAAGCTCTGTCAGGTTGGATGGGAGCGTCGCTGCACAGCTATTTTCAGGTCTCTCCAGAGATGTTAGATCGGGATCAAGTCGGCCAGACATTCAGAGACTTGTCCCGAAGCCACTCCTGCATTGTCTTGGCTGTGTGCTTAGGGCTGTTGTCCTGTTGGAAGGTGAACCTTCGCCCCAGTCTGAGGTCCTGAGCGCTCTGGAGCAGGTTTTCATCAAGGATCTGTCTGTACATTGCTCCGTTCATCTTTCCCTCGATCCTGACTAGTCTCCCAGTCCCAGCCCCCGAAAAACATCCCCAGAGCATGATGCTGCCACCACCATGCTTCACCGTAGGGATGGTGCCAGGTTTCCTCCAAACGTGACGCTTGACATTCAGGCCAAAGAGTTCAATCTTGGTTTCATCAGACCAGAGAATCTTGTTTCTCATGGTCTGAGAGTCCTTTAGGTTTCTTTTGGCAAACTCCAAGTGGGCTGTCATGTGCCTTTTACTGGGGAGTGGCTTCCGTCTGGCCACTCAACCTAAAGGGCCTAATTGTGGAGTGCTGCAGAGATGGTGTCTTCTGGAGTTTCTCCAGTCTCCACAGAAGGAATCGGGAGATCTTCAGAGGTGACCATCGGTTCTTGGGGCTCACTGTTAGATCAATTGGTACAACATGGCGCATGAACGCCAGGGTAGTGCGGTTCGAATACCCGGGGACCACCCATACGTAAAAAATGTATGGCACATGACTGTAAGTCGCTTTTTGGATGAAAGCGCTGCTCTTAAATGGATATTATTATTGGTCACCTCCCCTGACCAAGGCCTACCCGATGCTCAGTTTGCTGGGCGGCCAGACTCTAGGAAAAGTCTGGGTGTTTCCAAACGTCTTCCATTTAAAGAATGATGGAGGCCATGGTGTTCTGGGGAACTTCAATGCTGCAGACATTGTTTGGTTACCCTTCCCCAGATCTGTGCCTCGACACAATCCTGTCTCGGAGCTCTAAAGACAATTCCTTCGACCTCATGACTTGGTTTTTGCTCTGACATGCACTGTCAACTGTGGGACCTTATATAGACAGGTGTGTGCCTTTCCAAATCATGTCCAATCAATTGAATTTACCACAGGTGGACTCCAATCAAGTTGTAGAAACATCTCAAGGATGATCAATGGAAACAGGATGCACCTGAGCTCAATTTCGAGTCTCATAGCAAAGGCTCTGAATACTTATGTAAATAGGGTATTTCCGTTTTTTATTTGTAATACATTTGCAAATATTTCTAAAAACCTGTTTTCACTTTGTCGTTATGGGGTATTGTGTGTAGATTGATGAGGGAAAACAATTATTTAATCAATTTTAGAACAAGGCTGTAACGTAACAAAATGTGGAAAAAGTCAAAGGGTCTGACTACTTTCCGAATGCACTGTATAATAATAGATAATTCACCTGCAGATGACAGATGCCTTACTGGCTCCAGTGGTTAGAGCATTCCTGTGATGCTGTTTGAGAACCCGCATTGTGGGCAGGTTCTCTCCATTTGAATCTGATCCAATGCTGTTTATCATATCGTAAAGCTTTGGATTCTTCTGTTGAAGATCTTTCATCTGAGATTGTTGGTCTCTGGCCTGCTTCAGGGAACTCTTTGGTGGGATATGGTCTGCCTCCACAACGCCTCTTTCCCCCATGTATTCAGAGATAAGTCTGGTGTTTTTGACTCTGATGAGGGGATAGAAGAGAAAAGGTTGTACTATGAAAGTACAATTCAAGTAAACACATCTATTTATACAATTTGTATGTCAATGCTTTATTAATTATTATATACATTTCTGGTCTTAATAATGTATTCAAGTGTAAAAACAATGCAGGGTCATTATAATTACATTGGTAGATTTGAACAATGCCCATATAAAAATAAAACAAATATTATGCTAAATTACCTTTTGTAAGGACCAACTAATCCAAGTTGGTACGCATAGGCTATGTCCTCCTCATTTATCCCTGAGGAACTATAAGGAATATACTTCATGGGACTGATATCGTGACCATATTCCTCATCATCACTTGTCTTGCTGTCGGCCCTACCCCTCCAACTATAGCATATTTTCCATGATTTTTCTTGAGTGCATCATAGGCCTTCTGGGTTTTTACCATTTCACTATGAGCATGAAGGTTCCCTTTGATCTATGGGAAGACATAACAGGTATCAATAACTCCAATTACTCCACAACAAAGGTTAAAGGTGCAATCTGTTATATTCATTTATTTTATTTAGGGACAGTTGGTATCTACCAATCATCTTAATTTCCTAGAGTTCCTTCGTTGGATTTGATTAAAATTACATATTTCAGGAAGTTACTTAGTTTAAGAATTATTTAAACTATACGTAGACATGCGTAGGCCTACAGTACCTGGTCTTTAACGTTGTTTCGTAGATTCACAGCTTGACTCTTGATCTCATCCTCTGACCTGTTAGATATTGCCTGTGCTAGGGCATGGTACAGGCAGTTCTGGTTCTCTGAGCGCACAGGGATTACTTTGCCATCTTGGATGATGTCAAAGTGACCACTGTATGGATTTTCCACTCCTTGGATTCTGTCTTTTGCTTTAGAGAGGATTCCTTTCTCACTGAAAGAGCAGAAATAAAGAGCACCATTGGTTCTCATTAATGTAGTTCTAATTGGAGAGATCCTAATTTGGGGAGATTTGCAGTATTGTTGATGAAGGTCTACCAAACAGTTTAGGACAAATACCTGTGTGTTTCCTCAGGCTCTTTGGTCAGCCGTAGAGTGATTTGGCCGGCTGAGCTGTTCGTTCCCGGGTAGGACTCCTCTGAGAGTGTTTTCCCATGTTGATCCACCACTTTGAACTGGATGCCTTTACCATGGAGCAGGTCACTGTTTGTGAGGATATAAATGTCCAGGGCCGAGGCTGGTCTATTAACATCACCAATCTTCTCTGCATAGTCCAGGAGTTCTTTTGTTTCAGTCTCTGACAGAGCTTTCCCAGTCTTCTGACTGGCTGACTTCATATCATGTTTATGCTGCCGGTCCTGGAAAAAGCCCTCAGTTTTGTGTCTGCCAAGTACATTGTCAACAACTTTTCCAGTGACTGCATTGACCTTCTTCTTGAATTGTCGCGTCACAAAGTCGGACATATGACCAGCACAAGCATCTACGAATGCTTGGGAGACACTTTCCGAAATGGAGCTTAGGAACTCATCCTTCAGGCGAATCACATCTGGTAAGTCATGTCTGCCATCTTGGTCATACTGCTCCAGATTTCTTTGCTGCTCTTCAATTTCTTTTTTTAATTTGAGGACAAATATGTCATTGATAACATGTTCTGTAGGAATGGATTGAATCATTTGGACCAAGGTTGTGGTGTGTTTAGCTATTTCTACACTTATTTTGACTCCTTTTGCAATGCAATGTGTCCCACTTTTTTCCACAAGGTCAGTTGCATTATTGCACACCTCAGAGAGTCTGCTGATAACATCACTGACTTGGGATGTGGTGGCATCAGTCATGAGGCCAGGAATAAGATCTTTTGTCATAACTTGAACTAAATCTTTCATTTGTTGTTCAAGCTTTGAGTCAATTTTATAATTGCTGCGGTTCTGCAAAGCTCCTTTAGGTACTGCAGAGCCAATGTACTTAGTGAGACTAAGACCTAGTTCGGCATTCTGTTTGACTGTTGAAGTGACCATGTCTTTGAAAGCTTTTTCTAAAATAATTTTAAAGATGGCCCCAATTCCAGCATCAATGCCGTAGTTAATTCCTGCGATTACACTCTGCTTCCCTACCTCCTGAAATGCATACTTGGTTGCGTGTTTTAGAGCCACCTTCATGTTTGTAGGGGATACCAGTTTCTTTGTTGCAGTCTTAATTGTTTCTTTGGAGATAGATTTTACCGCTCCCTGTGCGGACTTGAAAACATATTTTCCTGTGCCAATGATTTCCTTTGCGACAGATGAGAGTTTCTTAGTACCATTGAGGACTTTATATGCTGTGATGGCAACTTTTTTAATGGCGCTGAACCCTGCGGAGAGCAGAGACATCCCAATGCTGATGCTTTTGGAGATGGCCCATTGCACCCAATTGAACGTGCCCGATATCATGCCAGTTATCCCTTCAATCATGTCGGAGACTCCTTCAGAGATGAGACTAAAGCCAATCTGGGTTCCAGCGCCAAACGACAGGGCACAAACCAGAACTCCAAGGATGACCTGACTCACACCGATGAAGAAACAAATCAAAGCGTCAAAGCTGAACTCGGGCTTCCTTTTCACCTCAAACACAATACACAGGCCATTGTCATACAAGGCCGTGAGTTCATTTGCTGTGATGTAGTCTTGATTTTCTGAGAGGCTGTACACTGAGGATACCTCTGTTATGGCCGTGCCTTCCCCCTCAAGCTCTTTAAGTTTATTTACCACAAGGTCAATGTTAAGTATCCAAGCTTTGTGAATGCTCATCCTGGAATCTATTTGCTTTAGAAAGTTGCGTTCTCCTTCATGATGTGGTTCAAAAGTTGCCATTGTGGCAATCTGAAAAAAAACCATGGTATTTGTTGTTTCTGACAAGTAAACATCCACAGATGTCTTTGCCCTTTCCAGTAATTCCCTTGCCTCTGTTTTGTAGCCATCTTTGCCCATGTTGATGGTGATGAAGGCTTGGTTGTACAGTGCCACGGCACTGTAAAAAGGGTCACACTCTTCAACATCTTTCCAGTAGGACTTTGCTTCATAGTCACACTTACTTTTGTTGCGGAGGTGCAAGTCAGTTCTGCCGGTAGCCTGCTTTATGTGGTCATAGAAGTTTTGACTTTTTCCATTCAGCAGCATGTTGCCCCTATTTGTGATATGCTCAAGAAGGTCTGCTTTAAGAACACTGATATCTTCGTGCCGACGGATGTGCTCCTCGTGAAGGGTAAGCCACAATGCCCATGTTTCTTTCAAAGCATTGAGTGCCGGCTGGTAATCAAACTTAGGGCCTTTATCTTTAAAACACTCAGGGACATCTTTCGGCCCCATTCCCGACAGGTCATCTCTCTCCTGTTTTGTGAAGTTGCCGTCAAACTTGTCAAGAAATTCGCAAAACGTGCCAAACAGGTCCTCTTTTATTTTGATTTCGAGAAGCTCATCTGTCTCCATATCTTTGATGCGTTGGACTTCGTACTCCTCTCTCAGTTGTCTCATGATCTCCACAGGCTGGCCCTGGTATGCTGGGGCAAGGTTATCCCCACGGAGGATCATCTGGACCACGCCCGGGTTTCCCTTCCGACCAGTTCTTCCGAACACCTGTTTCTCCACTCTGCGACTGCCAGGGTAATGTGTCAGGAGGACGAAGAGGCCACCACATAGGTTGACATCCTGATCAACCTTGATATCTGTTCCACGACCTCCTAGATTTGTGGATATGATTATATGTCCCCCTCTGAATTTGGTACTCTCAATGTTGTGTTTCTCACTGATTGTGTATAATGTGATGGGGGGATGTGGATTCTCGCCCCCTATTTTCTTCAGAAGCTCTTTTGCGGTCTTGACATCCTCACATATGACCAAGACAACCTGACCAATGTCTGCCACTCTCATTGCTGTCTTACAGAGGATCTCCATCCACTGGGCTTGCCCACTGACCTGAATTGCTGGAAGCTCAACAACCTTCTTATGGCGGTGAGCTGGTATTGTGTAGCTGTCTGTTTCGTAATGCCTTGCAAGGAAATCTTTGTCGGCATCGCCCCCTAATGTCCCAGACACACCAAATATCCCATTCCCTTTTAGGTACTTTTGAAAGTAATGGAAGTTTGACAGGTAATTTGTCACATTGGACAAAGGAGTGGTTGCCAGCTGGTGTTTCATCTCCAGAAACTGCTGCAGGCCGTCCCCCCAGCGTTTGTTCTTCTCCAACACTCCACTGGCCTGGAAGTCCACTGGGATGATGGCATGGTAGAGATGCTCGTCTCTGACCGCTTCCAATGTCTGATCAATCATGTACTCTCTGCCTTGTGTCATCATGATGGCTTTCAGGGCGTTTTCCACAAAGACTGGTAACCGATTCTCAAGGTATTTCTCAAGGAAAGAGGGGATCACAAGAAACTCTGAGTTTGACTGAGAGTTGCCAGAATATTTGATTTTAGACTTCAGCTCAGAGACAGTTGCCTTAATGAGTTTGTCTTCTGGTATGATCTCACTGGCTCGTCCATTCTCGAGGAGAAGCATTTTGATTTCCAGGATATCAGGGTTGTTGTGCAACTTTTTCTCCTCAACCAGCACGGCTTTATTGTTTGTCACAGAGTAACAGTCAATGGCCACATCATTCTCCAGTGCTTTCTCCATGATGGTGAGCAGATCACACTGTTGAGTAATTCCAACTTTGGCCATGAATGTATCAACAGTTTTCCTGTTCTCAGTTGTATCGTGTTTCTCTGCGTTCTCTAGAGCTTGCATGAACATGTCAAAATCTTCATCTGAATAGATACCCAACTCCACTCCGGCTTCCAAAATGTGAAATTCAGAGAATTCTTGAGATGTCGCTGGACCGATAACAGCTAACTTTGCAGCCTTGTGGAAATGTTGGATTCCAGTTGCCCACTCAATCTCTCCAGTATCTTCCATCTCAATTGGCTGACACATAGATACCATGGCCCATATGCTAGCAAGGACTTGGTCGAGGTGCCTCAGGCCACTTGCCTCGTGGGATAGAAACGTCACCTGAACTCCATTGTCCAAAGTCATGTAGTCCACTTCATCCACAATCACCATGTCGAACCTCCTCTCCCCACGTGTGGTGTCCTTCTCGAATTCCTGCCTCAATGCGTCTGCTGCAAAGCTGCCAACGGTTCCGTAAACTAATTGTTTCCTGTAAGCCTCCTGTAGCCTACTATCCCTGCTTTCAGGGGAGCTTCCCTGTATCTGTGGTGGTGGCACAACAGAGGATGTGACACCAAACATGTCATACAGTTTCTTCCACTCCTCTTGGTCTCGGCGAGCAAGGACTGGAGAACTGGTCACAATGTCAACCTTAGTGCCGCGGATGGCCTGGATGGTGGCAAACATAGCCAAGATGCAAGATTTTCCTTCACCTGTGCCGATTTCCAGAAGGATACCTTTTTTCCCTGTTAACTTTGGTAGAAGGAGCATGAGCAGTGATGCCAACTGAGTGAGTCGGGGAAAGTAGCCTTCTATTTTCTCAGCAGTGAGCAGTGACTCCAGCGGAGTGATGCGAGGAAAGTAGCCTTCTATGTTCTTACCGTTTTGAGTGTAAATGGTTGAGCAGTCTTGCACAGCCATAGACATCCTTATTAGGACCTCCTTGAGAACAGCAAGGTCAGGGTTAGTAAAATCCAGAGACTTGATCATCTGCTTTGCTTCCTCTATCTTTACCTGATCCAAGTCCTCCTTTGCATGTTTTGGAAGCTCCTCTGTCATATATCCTAGAATTTCCTCCATTATGGACAGTATTTTCTCTGGGTACTTTTCATTTCGCATTTCATTCACAATGGTGTTGGCATCCTTGTCCCCTTCTGCCTCAGCATACCATTGTAGAGAGTTGACAGGCTCTTTTTCTTTCAGGGCAGAGAGAGTAGAGAGAAGATCCAGCTTGTTCGTCCGCACTGTATGAAGGATTGAGGTTGCTAACTCTTGGTTTATGCCTAAAACACCTCGCAAAAAGAGCAGAATTTCTGAAGGTGTCCAAATCATGTTGAAGAGAATTTGACTAAGGAGCTCCTTGTTTTTCTCTGACACCTCTGTGAACATGTCAAGAATGCTCAGAACAAGTTGCTGAACCACTGTGGGATTGGTGCTGTACAGCTGTTCAAGAAGACGGATGAGAAAGTCATACTTCTGGTCCCAGTCAGGTAGTTGGACCTCTCTACTGTCTGTGTCCGAGTCGTTGGTCAACGTTAGCTCTGCCACAGCCGTGAGGATGCTAAACCTCTCGGTGAGTGATTGCTCTCCTTGGCTGATAGCACGATCTATGGTCAACTGACACCAGATGGACAGTTGAGGCTCTCCAAAGTATTGAAGGCTTAGCTCATTCTGAAGATTTTTCATTCGGTTTTCAAGTTTGTCCTCTTGCATGCTTTTGTCTTCAGTGATCTTGTACTTCTTCAGAAGCTCTTCAAACGTATTTTTCAAGTGCCCTGGCTAGAATAAAATGGTTCCAACACAAAAAAGTGTAAAGAAAAGGAATGTTTTAGTACAGATGCAATAAAATATGTATGTGTCATACTAGAAACACTTTTTCTATTAGTGGTGGTCCCATGTAAATTGGCAACTCTATGTAAATATGAGAAACTGTATTTTCAGAAAAATATAATAATATGTTTATCATTAAGTTAACGCAACATTAATGCTAAACACAAAATCATTAATGCAAAATAAAACAAATTCTACAACCCTTTTAAATATCTCATACCTCATCCCTTACGATTGCTGCAGCATCATCTTCTATCATCTGGTGTAGTACTTGTGTACGCTGGTGATGGCGCTGTTGTCCTTTAAGACTCAGCTTCTGTATCAGCTTTTCTCGTCCCTTTGACACCTTCTTACCCGAAAGTTCGCACTCTCTTTCGATTTCTTGCTGGATTCTCCTCTCGCTCTCCAGTTGCTCCTGGCGCCTCCTCTCCTCCTGCTGTCGTCTTCGTTGCTCCTCCATCTCCTCCTGCTGTCGTCTTCGTTGCTCCTCCATCTCCTCCTGCTGTCGTCTTCGTTGCTCCTCCTGTCTTCGCCGCTCCACCTCCTCCTGCTGCTGACGGATACGGTCTTCCTCTTGCTTCCCTGATGGATGAATACAAATGACACCATATTCCCTATGTAGTGCACAACTTTTGGCCAGAGCCCATGTTTACAAATAAGGTGCCATTTGAGACGTAGTAGCCAACAGCCAATGTTGTTCCAACAAAATACTGATCAATAACAAAAATAGCAGCCCTGAGCCAATATTGCTATTTCATGAACATATGAACCAATACTATAGTATTTATATACTGTAAGGAAAAACCTTTACATTAATTGGCTCAGTTGCAAATACTAGTTGCTGATAAATGATGTATTGAGGATATATGGTTTATTTCCAAACTGAACATTTTGAACAAGATAATGTAGCTCAGCAGATTTGTATGAATTTGAGGTACTTACCATAGTTTGGACATGTTGGACTATTAGACTCAGCGTCGCACAGTAGTTGAATAAGTGAACGGCCACTGGTTTCTATAATAGTGAATGTTTGACTCCTGCCCTGCTTGTGACTGTTGAATTCATATGAGAAGGAGTTATAACTGTGATTGTCATATCTTAACTTTAGGTAGCAAGGGCTCCAACTAGAGTTGAGGTGTTTTGTTACACTACCCCAGCCATGCAACGTGCCACTGCCACCTCCCTGGAAAACAGAAAAGCAATACCAGATCTAATTTTCAATCTTGAAATGTGTTAAGATTAATCTTCAGCGATCCAATTTATTGCTCAATATATTTCGAGATTGATCTCAAAATAAATGTTCCAGGTCTGATATTACACTTGTTTTAATTTTGTCACAGGGACAATATCGATAAGCACTTTTACTACCAACAGCCCCTTTCAGGTAGTCCACAGTGCTTAAAGGTAGGCTACACTCAGTAAAATGTAATTATCATACACAATGGGCCGACTTTATTCATTTACCAACATCAACAGAATTCAACTCTATCAACACTGCCATTATTAGTTCAGCTCTTCATAATGTTTGCCTTCCTTAGTGGCATGCCAGCATTGGGAAGAGCCAATAATCTAGGTTTATAAATATCATGATCAGGTATTTCACAGAGCACCTTACACTCAGCAAAATTACATTATTACCATTATCAATTACCTTGGCATATTTAAATTCTGTTGATTTTGTTCTCTGTAAGTGTCCCTGTTAGCAGCAGAAGTGTCACAACATTACACTACGTTTATAACTATCATGATTTTACATTGACTCAGATACTTACGTTCGAACTGACAAGTTCGTAGTGCCAAGTGTAAGGCGTTTGGTTCCGTACAGACACCGAGGCCCCCATTATTCAGAATCTGTTGGGGAAAAAACAGCCTTACACCAGTCTTACACCGTATAATTTTAAATGTAATGTGTTAATTTATCTACTGGACCTTTTCTCAAGTTATCATACTAGCGTAGAATATGAGGTAACACTTTAAACTACACTTTAAAATACACTAAATGCTTATAATATGTCATCCTTACAAATATGTACATATTCTGTAAACGTATTACTATTCCTACTTATTAATTGTTTATTCATTCTTAATTTCTTATTAATAAAAGTGTATTTATTAAAGTTCTTAATTTACAGTGTTTATCAATGGGATAGTTTTGAACTTGCAAAGTACAACAATTCTCTTATAGGAAACATGAACTATCTAAAGTTGTGTAGCTCACCGCAGTCTCCAGAAGCATAATTTCTGGGGCATAAACATGCAGGTCAAGCATAAAGTAGCAATAAATGTTTTCTTGTAAATTCTGTTTTTAGAGAAGTATGATGTATAATATTGATATACAGTATATCTAATAGCATGACATTTAATATTGTTAATAATTGTTAGCATTTTAACAAACATGACATGTATGTGTATGTATAGGCCTACTTGATAACTTGTGGTGAAGTCAGCATTAGTGGGACATCATGTGTAGTGGGACATTTGTGTTTGAGGGTGCTATGGTTATTTTGCGAACCAATCACAACAAATGTTATTGGGTTGTTGCTGCATGTGTTCTGTGCATGAAAAAATGGTTTTGGTTAGTGTGACATCACTTTAGTGTATGTGGTCAGGTTTCTTAGATCGGGTGACCCGTTGAAAATCATTTTTTTAAACGCCATACTATGATACCTTGCGCTAGAATGATAAGGCAGCCATTCTGTCAGTTATAATTTAACAATCTAGCTTTTGGTGTTAAAATGAATAGTTATTGATAGTGCTTTGAAATATAATAACCATTCATGTAAACAGCTTATATATTTTATGAAAATTAGATTTATATTACTGTCCCATATTACTGCACATAAACCGCATAGGATGACAGTGGAAGGAATCAAAAGGAATTAACAAGGGGAGTGAAGGAAAGAAAGGAAGGACAATTAAAAAATTGACATTCACTTTAATAATTATATTTTAGGCTAAACTGATTATGGCAGTAGGCAGATTATGCAATAGTCATGTAGGCCTAAACACCTTACTCTGTTTATCTTAATCAGTGTAAAGGTCAAAATCATGTAAGCATAAAACACCTGGTTTTCTGAGTAATTTCTTTCGAATTATTAGGACATGTAAACTAGTGATGCGTTTAATATTGTGTGGTTGAAGGGCGGGTTGAATAAAGACAAAACAATAGGCTAGCTTAAACATCCATGAATGTATAATTGTTGTGCAATTTATATCTAGGCTATCTATAGGCTGCATTTAGGTTTTTCTTATTAATTAACACTGATATGTTACGAATTACAATTCATATTATATGTTACGAATTTGAAAAAAGGAAGGCTACACTATGTTAAGAATTTGAAAAATGTACAATATGTTACGAATTTGCTCAAATGTATGTATGTTACGAATTCTAGCTAGGTGGTTAGGTGGCTAACATTAGCTAGCTGGCTAACGTTAGCTCGGCTAGGGGTTAGGGTTAGGGTTAAGTTTAGGAGTTAGGTTGAAGGGTTAAGGTTAGGGTTAGGGAAAGGTTAGCTAAGAGGGTTAGGGTTAGCTAACATACTAAGTAGTTGTGAAGTAGCTAAAAAGTAGTAAGGAGGCTAGTTGTAAAGTTGCTAATTAGCTAAAATGCTAAAGTTGACCGTGATGAAATTCGAACTCGCAACCTTTGGGTTGCAAGACAACTTTCGTTTTTGCCTTAAGTAACCATCTGTTTTATGTAATCATCCCAAACATAACAAACCATACTAATTTCAGTGTCCCGGATTTACTTTGACTATATTACATATAATCTGTGAGACCAGGCTGCCTGTAGAGGTGCTACCTTTATCAGCTTCGTAAAAACTGATAGTATTTCAACCACATAAAAATATGCCTCCAAGCCGAAATCTTATCAGAGCCATGTAGGGTGGTTTTCACAGCTTTTTGTTTCCTTACAACCGTTCAAACTGATGTCATTTGGAGAAAAAAAATATTTTTTTTGTGGAGTTATTGCATTTTCTCCCAGGTCCTTAAACGTCATTTGCTCCGCGAAAGAAGCAGCGATGATAGATAACTTTACCTATGTCAGCTAGATTGAAGCATTCATTCTATTGATTTATGACATTATTCTGGGGCAACATATAATGACAGAAGAGATGCTGCATGCATGTAATTATAGACAAGCTGACTAACAAATAGCCTACCAAAAAATCGGCAATTATAAATAGAAACGTATCAAAATTACCTGTCAAAAATCGTTTCGCCATCTCTGACTATAGCCTACAGGCGTTTCGTATTTTAGCGGGTTAGGGTCGGTTGAGGGCCTCAGATTGTCACTTTATCACATATAGCCAGGCGGGTATGGATATCTTATTAGCAATTGCGGACGGGTGCAGCTGAGTAAACAGCTCAACCGCGCCCCACTAATGTAAACACATGAATCGGCTTTCCAGCAGTGTATTTAATCTGCGCATGGGCTAGCACCAGCCGAGCGAGCCTCCCTCTTTAGTGCAGGTGCAGTGAGTTCGGAACAACTGAAGTAGTTTTCACATACAAAATGTATATGTCCGAATTCAGAATGAAATATGCTTCCCATAAATAACATGTTTTCTGTGGTAGAGAACGTTTATTTTGATTGGCGATTTTCTGCATTTATCTGAGTGCCATCAGTTAGCCTGATTTCAGATGTATCCATGTAAACAGGATTATTAGGAAAATAGTTGTTATTGTAAAGCATGTAAACGTTGTAATCGAACTATTATATTAATCTGACTATCCACAATAATCCCATTGTTGTGTGCATGTAACCTTACGCTACTCACTGACATTTACACTGAACAAAAATATAAATGCAACATGCAACCATTTCAAAGATTTTTCCGAGTTACAGTTCATATAAGGAAATCAGTCAATTGAAATAAATTCATTAGGCCCTAATCTATGGATTTCACAAGACTGGGAATGTATATATGCATCTGTTGGTCACAGATATCTTTTTAAAAAGTAGGGGCCTGAATAAAAAAAACAGGCAGTATCTGGTGTGACCACCATTTGCCTCATGCAGTTAGACACATCTCCTTCGCATAGAGTTGATCAGGCTGTTGATAGTGGCCTGTGAAATGTTGTCCCACTCTTCAGTGGCACTGGAACACGCTGTTGTACACGTCTATCCAGAGCATCCCAAACATACTCAATGGGTGACATGTCTGGTGAGTATGCAGCCCATGGAAGAACTGGGACATTTTCAGCTTCCAGGAATTTTGTACAGATCCTTGTGACATGGGGCCGTACATTATCATGCTGAAACATGAGGTGATGGCGGCGGATGAATGGCACGACAATGGGCCTCAGGATCTCGTCACAGTATCTCTGTACATTCAAATTACCATAGATAAAATGCAATTGTGTTTGTTGTCCGTAGCTTATGCCTGCCCATACCATAACCCTACCGCCACCATGGGGCACTCTGTTCACAACGTTGACATCAGCAAACCGCTTGCCCACATGACACCATACATGTGGTCTGCGGTTGTGAGACGTAATGCCAAATTCTCTAAAACGACGTTTGGAGGCTGCTTATGGTAGAGAAATTAACATTAAATTCTCTGCCAACAGCTCTGGTGGACATTCCTGCAGTGTGGTCCTCTGTAGCTCAGCTGGTAGAGCACGGCGCTTGTAACGCCAAGGTAGTGGGTTCGATCCCCGGGACCACCCATACACAAAAATGTATGCACGCATGACTGTAAGTTGCTTTGGATAAAAGCGTCTGCTAAATGGCATATTATTATTATTATGTAAGCATGCCAATTGCACAGGTCCTTACTGTGGAATTGTGTTGTGTGACAAAACTGCACATTTTAGAGTGGCCTTTTATTGTACCCAGCACAAGCTGTGTAATGATCATGCTGTTTAATCAACTTCTTGATATGCCACACCTGTCAGGTGGATGGGTTATCTTGGCAAAGGAGAAATGCTAACTAACAGGGTTGTAAACAAATTTGAGAGAAATAAGCTTTTTGTGCATATGGAACATTTCTGTGATTTTTTTACTTCAGCTCATGAAACATCGGACCAACACTTTACATGTTGCGTTTATATTTTTGTTCAGTATAAGAAAAGGAGGAAAGAAAGGATGCTCAATTTATGAAACGGGCATTTGGAGAATAATATAGTTGTTTCAGGGTCAAGTAAAAGCTGTGCAGACTCCTTTAGTTAGATTTTCACCCAGACCTTGGAATGTCCCCAAAAACATTTCCAAATAGCATGGAGATGGTTTTGTAGAAGGTCATTGACACAAAATGGTACAAACAGAGAGTGTGTTATCTACAAGCTTCTACAAAGTTACAAGTGCCAGGTGAAGTGGGACGCTAATGTATTTCTAATGAGAAAATAGTGTCCCACTTCATCAACTTAAGTGTCCCACTACAACTTAAAGCCACGCTTTAACAAAAGTATGGGTCTGATGTTGTTTTAGGGGTAGTACATAATACATTATCAACTTGTTTCATCATAAAAATGTTGATATTAATTAATTAAATAAACATCACTTGAGTAGGGGTAGATTTTGATTGTGTACATAACCATCTACCAAAAAGTGTCCCACTCATGCATATACAGTGAGGGGAAAAAAGTATTTGATCCCCTGCTGATTTTGTACGTTTGCCCACTGACAAAGACATGATCAGTCTATAATTTTAATGGTAGGTTTATTTGAACAGTGAGAGACAGAATAACAACAACAAAAATCCAGAAAAACGCATGTCAAAAATGTTATAAATTGATTTGCATTTTAATGAGGGAAATAAGTATTTGACCCCTCTGCAAAACATGACTTAGTACTTGGTGGCAAAACCCTTGTTGGCAATCACAGTGGTCAGACGTTTCTTGTAGTTGG